AGTCAGCGAAGGGTCCCCAACCACTTGGAGGGAGTGGGAGGTCCTTCTCATTTTACCAGAGCCTCTGGTCTGGAGGCGACAGTGGCTAGGCTGTGGCTCAGGCAGGCAGATCACTCACACCAGCTGCACCAAGAACACTGGGGAAGGACAGAACATGGCAGCAAGGTCCCAGAGGCCTTCACACCTTTCCTCGCCACAGAGGACAAACGGCCGGCCTGCACCACGGGCTCCTCCTGTCCTCACTGAAGGCTCCACCCGAGGAGCACATCCACCAGGGGCAGTCAAGGACCTCGGACAGCCCAGGGCAACAAGGTCGCACAGGCCAGAGACTCTGGACCTGGAAGAGGCAGAACGTGACACAGCTGTCTAAAAGGACGATGGGTCTCTTTGTTTTGATCCAGACAAGTGAAGAGTGGCCGGCCCGAGAGCACGAAGCCATGCCAGCCACCCAACCCTCGAGCCCCACATCTCGTCTGATAGGAAGCCCCAGCCCTCTTCCTGGCCACAAGCTCAAACTCCACCATATGCTCAGCCGACAGCCAGCAGAGTTACCTTCTACCATTTTTTTTTAACTATTTTTTTAAAGTTTTATTTGAGTCTCTACACCCTCGTAGGGCTTGAACTCACAACCCCAAGATCAAGAGTCGCACGCTCTTCTGACAGAGCCAGCCAGGCGTCCCAGAGCTGCCTTCTACTTTTCATCAGAGAAGAGGTTGTGGCAATTTTATGCTTTCATTCTCCTCCTGTTCATTAATTTGCTGCGTTCCCATCGTACAGCCTCCACCTCGTTCTCTCGGGGACATCAGGGGTCACCTATGATACATACACCTGTATCCTTAGTACCTGTGGCTCGAGCACCTGGAAAGCTGTTTTCCTCGCTGCAGAGCCGAGGAGAGACGGAGGCCCTGGGGGTGAGCAGAGCCACCAACCCGGAGGCACCTTGCCTCCCAGAAAATGGGGCAAGCATGGTTTCAGAAACACCGGGGCACGGGAAAAACTCTGGAGACAATCAAAGAATAAAAAGAGAGAAAAGAAAACCTATCACTAAAGAGTGAAACTCAGCCAGCTGTCTGCCAAAATAGCAGCGTGAGACCAATCAATGGGAGGACAGTTAATTCCTTAATAGACGTTTTAAGTACATTTGTAAACGGCCTCTTGTTTGTAAAAGGGTCTGGAACAGGACCAAGACCCACAGGCTCACCAAATCCTGAAGCAGGGGAATTCCATACTAATGCAAAAGCCTTATTCAAATGTAAAAGTGCTGAAGAAACCTGAAAAAGCTCTCATTACTTTAAGTTGAGGCATAACCAATATCCGACATTCTATGTTTCAGGAGCACAGCATAAGGAGTCACTACCCAGAAACACTACAGACCGATCACCACAGTCCATCTGGTGAACATCCATCACCGTACAAAGTTACAAACTCTTTCTTCTTGTGATGAGAGCTTGTAAGACTCACTTCTTGAGGACTTTCAAATACCTACTGCAATGTCACCGACCCTGGTCGCCATGCTGTCCCTTACACCTCCGGGACAGATTTATCTGGTAACTGCAAGTTTGTACCTTTTCATCCTCCTTCGCCCATTTCACCACCACTGCCCCGCCCCCCCAGCACCTCTGGCACCAATCTGTTCTCTGTATAAGTTTGGGGGGTTTTTGGTTTTTTAGATTCTACCTATAAGTGAGATCGTACAGTATTTATCTTTCTCTGACTTATTTCATTTAGCATAATATCCTCAAGGTCCATCCACGTTTTCACAAATGGCAAGATTTCACTCATTTTTATGGGTATTACCTGTGTGTGTGTGTGTGTGTGTGTGCGCGCGCACATGTGTACACACATCCCGTCTGTTTTATCCATTCATCCATTGCTGGAGAGCAACTCAGGCTGCTTCCTGTTGTAAATGATGCTGCAAGTGAACACGGGCGTGCAGACAACTTTTTGAATCAGTGTTTCTGTTTTCTTTGGGTAAATACCCAGTAGAGCAATTGCTGGATCGTAGGGCAGCTCTATTTTTAACCTTCTGAGGACCCTCCACACTGTTTTCCAGAGTGGCTGCCCCAGCAGTGTGAGAGGGTTCCCCTTTCTCCGCATCCCCGCCAACATCTGTGGTTTCTTGTCTTTCTGTGTGACATCCATTCTGACTGGTGTGAGGGGATGTTTCATTGTGGGTCTGATGTGCATTCCCCCGATGATGAGTGATGGTGAGCACCTTTCCATGTACCTGTTGGCCACCTGGATGTCTTCTTTAGAAAAGTGTCTGTTCAGATCCTCTGCCCATTGTTTAATCAGATTATTTATTTTTTGCTGTTGAGTTGTGTGGTGCCTTATATATACTGGACATATCAGATATGGAATTGCAAATACTTTCTCCCACCCCATAGGCGGCCTTTTCGTCCTGTCAACGGGCTCCTGTGCTAAGTGGAAGCTTTTCAGTTTGACGTCCTACTTGTTGATTTCTGCTTTTGTTGCCTTTGCATCTGATTGCTACTGTGTGTTTTCAAAATATTGGTTTAATTTTATAGTGTTTATCTAAAATTAGTAATAGTTACCCTAACAGGTTTAGTTACCCCAACACTTTTTTAGAAACCATACTGGAGGGCTCACATGTCTGCTGATGGGCACAAGCCAATATCCTGCAAGCTAGAAGACTTGCCAGGGGCCCACTAACCTCTGCACTAAGCCTCCCAATACCCCGTGTACCCCCCCCCGACCAGGCTTGCCCCCACGTGCCTGCATTAACACAGAGACAATGCACAGGATACAGTAAATGGAAAAAGAGGGTTAAGAATCAAGTTCATTATAATCTCCTGTTTCCTTAAAAATAAAAGGATCTACGGCTGACACAGTGGACAATGCCATGTTCCATTAGACACAGGACACTGCTGAGCAGGAGACTCACCATCCCACTGTAATTGCTTTAGGGGACAAAAGACACAACAGCTGATGAGACAGAAATACAAGTTGTAGGGGCGCCTGGGTGGCTCAGTCGTTGAGTGTCTGCCCTCGGCTCAGGTCATGGTCCCAGGGTCCTGGAATCGAGCCCCGCATCGGGCTCCCTGCTCAGCGGGAGGCCTGCTTCTCCCTCTCCCACCCCACCTGCTTGTGTTCCCTCTCTCCCTGTGACTCTCTCTGTCAAATAAATAAAATCTTTAAAAACAAAAAGAAAGAAATACAAATTGCAAAGACATCCTCATGCCAGAAACATTTAAACACAGGAAAAACAATGGACATCACAGGCCCAAGGAATTAGAATATTACAAGTTATCAGATGTTACCCATGCTGTATTTTCTCTGGATAGTGTTAACTGATGATTTTTAAAATATTTTGCTTACCAAAAAACCCTCCCTTTCTCATCAATTTCCATGTATTAATCTAAGCTCCACGGACAACATTTATCAGCAATCTGTTCCTAAAGCATGTAAAGCATGAAAAACTAATGTGACCTTGGCCCTGGGCAGACTCACAAGGTGAGATGACGTCTGAAGGGCACGCGTGCCCCCGCCCTTCCCACGGAGCACTCCTCACCCAACGAAGTCCAACCCCAACACTTGCCGACCGACTGAACCGTCGTCTCATTTTACTAATAAGAAAACGGAGAGACTGAGGGTCAGTCTCAACCTGCATAAATTTTACTTAACCACATTTTGTTGAAAACACAGCAAGAGGGTGCCTGGGTGGCTCAGTTGGTTAGGCGACTGCCTTCGGCTCAGGTCATGATCCTGGAGTCCCCAGATCGAGTCCCGCATCGGGCTCCCTGCTCGGCAGGGAGTCTGCTTCTCCCTCCGACCCTCCCCCCTCTCATGTGCTCTCTCTCTCTCAAATAAATAAATAAAATCTTAAGAAAAAAAAAAGAAAACACAGCAAGTCTAAGAATGGCCAAAAACTGTACATGTAAAGAGGGAGGAAGGCAAACAAAGGGCCTGGGTCATAGGGCTGTAGAACACTCTAGAATCAGGGATCCTGGGCGCCTGGGTGGCTCAGTCGGTTAAGCAGCTGCCTTCGGCTCAGATCATGGTCCCAGGGTCCTGGGATCAAGTCCCGTGTCGGGCTCTCTGCTCAGTGGGGAGCCTGCTTCTCCCTCTCCCTCTGCCTGCTGCTCACCCTGCTTGTGCTCTCTCTCTCTCTCTCTGTGTCAAATAAATAAATAAAATCTTTCAAAAAAAAAAAAAAAGAATCAGGGGTCCATTTGTGACCCTTTCTAAGCAACATCACTAAGTGAAATAGGAAATCCACTCATGATCTTTCTACAACAGGGCCAGGAACCACACTGCTGGCCTCAGAACTAAGCCACGTCCTGGGGTCAGGGACGATGGAACTCCAGATGAGGTGCATGGGGAAAGAGCAGCAGAAGACGAGCTCCATGGGGACAAGAGGAAAAGGGAAGTGCGGGTACACAGGAGGATAGGGCCAGAGGCTCACTTGCACCCTGAGGGGCCATTCCTCCCTCAAAGCTGTGGGCTCTTAGGGACTTCCTGAAGTCAAAACCACCGACACTGCCTGAGGCTAACCCAGCACAGCCACACAACATTCAAAACTTATTACTGTGGGGCGCCTGGGGGGCTCAGTTGGTGAAGCGTCTGCCTCCGGCTCAGGTCATGATCCCGGGGTCCTGGGACGGAGCCCCACGTTGGGCTCCCTGATCAGCGGGGAGTCTGCTTCTCCCTCTCCCTGCCCCTCCCCTTGCTTCTGCTCTCTGTGTGTCAAATAAATAAAATCTTTTAAAAAAAGAAAAACCCTTATAATTGTAAAACTCTAGAGATATAAAATCAACTAAACCTTTTACTGGTTCTAAGGAAACATTTCATTTCTCAGGACACACACCCGTGCTCTTCTCTGGTCTCAGACTAGCAGACTAGAAAAGAGCTAAATTCAAGAGATGCACAAACCCTTTTTCCTAACGGACATTTCTAAGCACAGCACTACTGCTAAATGGATTCAAAGGAATAATGTCCAAGAAAGTCTTGAAAACTAGAAACACATATAACTAACTTACATGATCAGCGCCTCCCACTCAAAAAAGTTCTCTTCATTCATGGGGCCTGCAGGAAAAAAAAAATTTCCACAATTAACTTTGAAGGCAACGTTGGCAGTTAGAAGTAGATTATTAAGAGGTTAACTTTAGTGCCTTACCTGCCACAATTCCTTCCGGAGGATTCAGTGTTAATTCTATAAAATGAAAAAGTAAAACCATTATGAAACAGAATGCACATTGGTTGGCATTTTAACAAAACAACTTTTAAAAGTACATAAGATTAAAAATTGTAGAGTTATATGTATTAACTGATTAAAATTCTGTTTGTCCAAAGTGGATGCCTAGTTCAGTTATATTTCCGACAAAGACTCCATAAACAGCTCTTTATATCAGCAAAAAGTAGAATTTTAGAGCTATAAACCCTCTCATTTTACAAATGAAAAGACAAAAGGGGTTAATTATCTTTTGAAAATACTCCTGCTAGTTATTTTGATTAAATTTCATAAATCAAGCATAGTATATTATTTTCCAATGGAATGGTATTTCCCACGACTTTGAGAGGCGGCACAAGCTTTTCTGAACATGACAACTAGAGACTGAGCCGGCGCTCGTGAAGCAGGACGGGGAGCACGGACAGGCTAGTGGTCGGCCCCCCGTGCCACTCTACCACATCTGTGAGCCCCCGCATGAGGATCCACGGTGTCAGACCTGAGCACTCAGTGAAAACAAGTAGACAGCAGTGGTTTGCAGCAATTTGCAAAGGTCAGTAGCTGTTGATGAGGCCCAGCCCTGCCACTAAGAAATGCCATTTCAAGTCCCGGCCTCCACATCTTTTATATGCAAAGCACCAAAATGAAACCACACCTGCACACAAATTTGCAAAAGTAGAGAGCACAGGGTTAAAACAATCATGGGCAGGAAGGGGGGCCACCGGGAGTAGCACTAAGGCCACAGACGCACCTCCTACTGGGCCCAAGTGCCAAACACATCACTGGTCTACCACGAACCACATAAACAGAAGATAAACTGACCCAAAAACTGGCTCCTTGAAGGGACATAAAATTAACAAATCCTTGCCAAATAAAAGGCTCATTAAAGCGGAAGTCAAACAGTCATTACTCACAGGTGCTATGCGTACATACGTATAAAGTCCAAAAGAAATAAGACGCGTTATTAGAAAGATTGCAAGCATTGCTGATCACGAGGTCCGTACATATAACCAAACTGCGTTTCTATGTACAAGTAAGCTAGAAAAATCTTACAACGATAGCAATTACAATGGGAAACACGCAGAAGTACGTTTTTAAAAGATGTGCAGATCTGTAACGTGCCAGAACCATCACAAGTTTAAAGACCTTGATAAATGGAGATCAGAGCAAGTTCACCGGTCGAGCCCTCAGCATTAGGAAGTTCTCAGTCCTCCTCAAACTCAGTCTACGGATTCCATGCAACTGCAGCCAACATGTCAACAGGCTTCTTCTCTGAATGCGACAAGACAATTCTAAAAGATACATGAAATGCAAACAACCACACACAGCCGAGACACTCTTTAAGAAGAATAAGTTGAGAAGTCCATCAAAGGGCATCAAGACTTACTACGAAGCCCGGGCGAGGCAGGGGGACGCCAGTGCCCCGGAGAGGCAGGGGGATGCCAGCACAAAGGGAACTGGACCAAGGGAACAAAACAGAGAGTGCCCAGAAACAGACCCGTGCAAACACAGCTGGAGCCCTGAACAACACAGGTCCACTCCTCCTTATGCCCGTAGTAACCTTCCCTCTCCAGCTGACTGTCTTGGAAGAACACAGTGCGCATGCCTGCAACATACAAGCTACGTGTTGACTATGTACATGGTCCTTAAGGCTGCTGGACAACAGGAGGCCATTTGTAGTTAAGTTTTTGGGGAGTCAAAAGTTACACATATACTTTCAACTGTATAGGGGTCAGTACCCCTAACCTCAACAGAGGTTAAAAGGGCAGTCTTTTCCACAAATGATGCTAATATTTAAGCAAAAAAATAAAGTTTCTCCCCCCACACTACCAAAAAAAAAAAAAAAGATCAAAATCAAATATAAGACAAAGGAGAAAAGGGGCATGTGAAATAACAGAAAATCTCCGTACTGGTCTCTGACCCCGGGGCCAACACAGTGCTCCTGGGGCCCTCCTCATTGCCTACGTCCAAGAGCACTCGGAGCATCTTCTGTCCTAATGAGGTGACACAGGGGGGCTCCTAGGTAGGGCTGGTCCCCAGAAAGAGCAGCGGTGACTGGAAGCTCGGAACTTTCAGGCCACCCTGCCCCTCCCCCCAGTTCTCCAGGGAGGGGGAGGGGCTGGGAATGGAGTCAATGAGCCATCGCAGGCCTCTGCGAGGAACCCCTGTAAATCCCAACAGGACGGGGTCCAGACAGCTCCCAGCCAGGTGCACATGTCGGGGTGCTGGGAGAGGGGTGCACCCACAGAGGGCACAGAAATTCTATCCCTTCCCACATACCTTACCCTACACATTTCTTCCATCTGGTGGCACATCTGTACCCTTCATCATATCCTTTTATGATAAACCGATAAACATGAGCAAACTGCTTCCCTGAGTTCTACGAGCCACTCTAGCAAGTTAATCGACCCTGAGGAGGGGGTTGTGGGAACCTCCAACTTAGAGCCCATGAGTCAGAAGCACAGGTGACCAGCTGGACCTTCAAAGGCACCTGAAGGGCGGGCAGAGAAAGAGCGGTCTTGTGGGACTGAGTCCCTGACCTGTGGGGTCTGACGCTGTCTCCAGGTAGATGGTGTCGGAACTGAGTTCAACTGCGGGACACCCGGCTGGCATCTGCAGAACACCCCCCACACACAGGCCTGGTGTCAGAGTGCTGAGAGAGGGCCAACCGTGCCAGAGCAAAGGAGATACCCGGGGCGTACGTTTTCTAAACACGGCAGAAGATGCGAACAGACCATCACCAAAGGAGAAATGGATGGCAAAGAAGCACATTACAGCTGCTCCACACCGTGAGCCTTGGGGAGGTGAACATTAAAACCACAAAAAGATATGGCTACACATCTTCGTTAGTAGAAATATTTTTACTTAGAACAGAACAGCTCAAATTAAAAAGACTGGCGATACCAAGTGTTGGCAAGTTTACCAACTGAATCTCTCGTGCATTACCGGTCAAGATGCAAAATGATCTGGTTACCCGTTCCTAACAAAAACAGTTTAACCCTGTGCTTACTTGACACCCAGCAATTCCACCAGTGGATGTCTACCCAAGAGAAATGAACTCACGTCCCCGGACTCAGATGTGTGTGTTCACAGCAACTGCTTTCACAGCAGCCCCCATGGAAATGGCCAGATGCGCAACCGCGGGTGTGTGAGCACGGCGCAGTCTCTCGTACAATGGAGAAGCACGGAGCAACAGAAAGGAGCACACCAGTGCCATGGACACCATCATGGACGACTCTCACGGACCTGTGCTAAGTGAGACAAGTCTGGCGCACTGTGTGATTCAATGTCCATGGCATTCTAAACAAATTAAAACTACGGTAATCTGAAAGCAAATCAAATGGAGCTACAGGCCAGGGCCCACAGGGAAGCAGGAAGGACTGCAAAGGGCACGAGGGAACGCTCCGGGGCCACAGACGTTCTGCATCCTGACTGTAGTGACGGCTATGCCACAGGGTACACCTGTCAAAGCTCGAGGAATGGTCGATCTTAAAGTAGCACATTTTATTGCATGCATATTTTATCTCAGTAAAGCGGACTCCCCCCAAAATTAATTTCAGTTGTTTTATGAAATAGAAAACAATAAATTTCCGAGAGGATAATATATGAGAGTATCTTAATGCTTCCTAAATCGGACGCACCATAAAATTAATAACCAAAGAGCACTAACCATAAAGGAAAAGACTGGTAAAATTAATAGCACTGAAATTAAGAACCTCTGATATCAAAGGACACCTTTAAGAGAATGACAAGGTGAGCCCCGGAGAGGAAGAAGATACTTACCACAGACATAACCAACAAAGGGCTCACATCTGGACTTCTCAAGAACACCTTACAAATCAATAAAAATATATAAACAACCCAAAAGAAAATCAAGCTCATGACTTGAAAAGACACGTCACCAAAAAAAAAAAAAAAAAAAAAAGATACCTAAGTGGCCAGCAGAACAAAAGACAAGATGTTCACCTCATGAATCATGGGGGGGGACTTCAACCACCACGGGACAGCACCACCCTCCCACCAGAACCACCCAGGAGCCCAAGGTCAGAAAACCGGCAAGAAGCTTCTGCCCAGCCGAGGGCCGCAGCCGCGCCCTACAGGTAGCAGGGTCAACTGGTACACCCACTTTGGAAACGAGGCTGCCATCAGCTACTACCCTGAGCCAGTACTTCCTCTCAGAAGTATAACCACAAAGGAAAGTGTGCCCATCGTGCACCAAGAGACACGTCCAAGAATACTTTCAGCCAGAAGGAGCGCTTCTGATTCTGGGTAGCAACCAACATGCTGCTATGCAGAGAGCCTTATAACAAATGATTAACACCCCCCGCCCCTGCAGATTCCACCTCTGGAAGAATAAGGGGAAATGAAATGTCCCCGGATGTAATTACGTAGCTTGATACTGTAACACCTCACGCTCTCCCTGAAGAGACAGAGAACGCAGACTTACACCACGGATAACAGCTTGAAGCAAGAGGGAGAGTGAAAACTCATTAAGGTCACTGATGAAGGGCCACAGCGAATCTAAACCATTAACACCGGACAATTTAAATATTTCACTATTCTCACGAAAATATTGTTCCAGCTGTTGGTTTGAAAGCCTGTCATGTGTCTCTGTTTTGCTACATAATTTTATGTATTGAAAAGTACATAGTTACAATTCTAGTCACAAAACCATTCAAATGCAGATGCTATTTTTTATCCTTACATTTGCTTCTTGGTCCCCTCTGAAGCTTTGAGGAACAATCCAAAGCCATGGGGCAGTGGTCTGAGTAGCCCTGCTTGGCCAGCGTGACCAGAAGTGGCCAACCACTAACCATCAATCATACTTCTCTCTGCCAAGCACTCTTCTGGCCAGGGGACACGCAGGGGCGCAGGACAAACGAGGTCCCTGCCTTCAAGGAGCTTATGTACTAGTGAAGGACGGCAGGTAGCAGACAGGAAACAGAGGTGCAGAGAGAGTTTCAGGGACGGAAGAGTACGGAGAA